GGTTGTGTCGGGAAGGTGAGCATCATAGAATGCCAATTTACTAGAAGAAAGTATTCTTGTGTTGAGGGAGTACTTGAGTGGAGGCCCAATGGCAACACTTTCAACGCCCTCGTATTTCTAGTTGCTTTGTTTGTGTGCTCAGGTGGGAGTTATACCTGCTCGTGTCACCAGCTTCACAGAAGTCAAAGTTTCTTAAGCAAAATACTGAAACACTAAGCATAAAGGAAAATACTGACAGATTGTACTACTTTAAGAATATTTTTTCATCAAAAGATATAATAAAAAGAGTGAAAACTCATGCTCCTCAATGGAAGATAAGTTTTGTGACCTCACTATAGTCTGCACACACACACACACACACACACACACACACACACACACACACACAGCAGGTCAGGAAGTAGGTTGTTGCTGGTTCATGTGCATGGGGAGCTGGCGGATCTCACAATCTACCCGTCACAAAGCTCATGTCCCAAGAACTGAAGGTCAAAGGATCATTGGCCAGATGTAGGATTGGGAGTGAGTAGAACCCCCACCTATATTGGATACAGGTGACCCCCTCAAGGAAATCACCCCATTAAAATGACTAGCTATTCACATCTTATCACTACATGTAGGCAGATAGCATCATTCTATAACTGCCACACCACTGAGGTTCATGACCTAGCCAAGTAGACACATAACTTTAACTATCACACACCCATAACCAACTCAGGATTTGGATTAAACAATATATAAAGAGCTCTTTTTAAATCAATAAGAAAAAAAATAGACAACACTAGGGAAAATTAGCAAGAGAACTGAAAAGGCCATTCATCAAAGATGAAATCAAATGACCAACATGTACAGAAAGAGTACTGAGTCTCATGAGTAAACAAGAAATGCCAAAATGACCAACACAATGATATATCAGAAAACCTTGCCAAAGCCAGAAACTGTGGGAGGTGGAAGCTTGTTAAGAGAAGCGAAACTCAGATATTTCCCACTCATGGAGAGGAGTAGACAAATGGTAAGATTGCACCTGGTCAAAGATGGAAACCTTGCAAGGCCCAGAAAAAGCAAGGCAGTCTAAGCTCAGAGACATGGCACCCCCTGTGGACAAAGTCCCTCAATATCCCAATGGGAAAGCCAGTACAGCACCTTAGCAATATCTTTGCCTTCCAGTGAGCTGCCCCCCAACAGAGTCTGGAGCTCAGCCCTGGTATTCCACTCCCTTGAACACTCTGATCTTAGCCCCAGAAATAGAGCCAATTCTGATGCCTGTTACCCTTGCTACTTAGAGTCCTCACTCGCTTTTAGTTATTAACCAATTATTCATCATTCCAATCCTCCATTATAACTGAAAAAGGTGCCCTCTTCAAATGACTTTAAGATGCCTGTCTGCTAATTGAACTTTGACTAATGCAGGAGATAATAAAACTATTGTACTTGCAGAGAAAATATAGCCAACTATCTATGTGGGCAGAGAAAAAGTAAAACTCAGAAAGATGTGTACCAAAGGCAGAATTATAGGTATTTTTATTTTGTTATTTTTGGTTCCTTCTTTATCTTCAGGATGTATTTCTTTTTATAATCAAGAAAATATTTTTGAAGGAAAAAAATATAATATTGGTTTATATTTGGTACACAATGACTGCTTAACCAAATAAATTGGTTTATATATGATATTATAAAATGTTGCCACTGAAAGGGAGTCCTTGGACTAGTAGCATCAGTTTCACTCAAGAGTGGAGTTAGAAATGCTGACACTTGGGCTCGCCCCAGACCCACTACAGAGAATCTGCCTTTCAGCAAAATCCCCTGGTCGTACATGTGTATATTTGAGACATAACGTTGGAGAAGCCCTGATATTACGGACAATTTAATGACCAGCCTAGAAGTTGAAGAAATAGTCTAGCTCTCTCAGAGTAGCAACTGGGTAGTTTCTATGGAAGGTGTTGTGTAGAAATGGGTGGTCCAGAACTTTCTAATCCAGTGGTTCTCAACCTTCCTAATGCCGTGACCCTCTCCTCATGTTGTGGTGGGCCCCCAACCATAAAATTATTTTCATTACTACTTCACAACTGTAATTTTGCTACTGTTATGAATCGGGCTACCCCTGTGAAAGGGTTGTTCGACCCCCAAAAGGGTCACGACCCACAGGTTGAGAACCACAGCGGTCTAAAATGCATGTGTATTCTGTCATGCACTGAACTGTCCTCTGAAGTTGTATGTGATTACACTGATTTGTTCTTTATTGATGAATAATCGGGTCTTAAATACATGGAGTTCTCCAGAAAGCAAAACCCGTTGTGGTGATGGCTTTTGTATGAGTATTTTATTGAATGAAATTCCAAGAACAGGAGTAGATGATCAGGAGACTACAACAGAGGGAAGGGGACAGCCATAGGAAGATGCATAATGAAACTGGCCATGCGAAATGCACACAACCTGCTTCTGAGGCCAAGTTCGCAGGGCCATCCGTCAGTGTGAGGGAGGACAGCGTCCCTGGCCCTTTCTACCAAAGGTCAAATGTTTGCCCAACCTCCCATACACCCAGGTTACTCCTGGCTTATCTAAGAAGTCTCAGGAGAGAGGCAATGGGGTATTTGTAGGCCAGGAACTGAGCGGTGCATGGCGCAGTCAGAAACCAGGTGCTGTCCCTCTGTGCTGGGGAAAGTTGTTGAAGCCCATAGAAAACTGAAATAAGAGAAACCAGCGATAGTTGAGACTGAGCGGATCCAAAGCATTAAGAGGTATCTGATACCAGAACATAATACAAAGAATCTTTCACCGGATGATTTAATTTGTTTATGATTTAGAAAAGTCAGTATCCACATGTATGTACTTTCTCAGTTAATGAAGTCATGTTTCCACTTACTTTTTAAGAGTGTGTCAGAGATGCCCGTAAATTAAATCTTTTTGAAATAAATAAATTGCATATGAAAAATATAAGTCTTGAAAGGGAAATAGAGTCGCTGAAGAAGAAAATCGTTGAGCTGAAAGAAAACAACATATCTCTGGGGTAAGTGTTTTGATTGAGCATTTCAGGCAACGGGCCGGAGGAGTTGGGGATGGGGAGCTGGGCTGGAGGGGAGGACTGTCCTGAGGGGTGTGCCCTGTGATCTCAACTGGTTTGGGACATTGGGGAAGTAGAGACAAATCTGGGAAGGAGACCCAGGCTGATATGGGATTGGTGTTGACTCTGGAGAGCTGGAGAAGAGAGCGGAGAATCTTCCACTGCTGCAGGCAGGAGGCCCAGAAAACTTCAGAGGCGACCCAGCTTCCTGGGAACAGCTATTCGTAAATCACACCACCTAGCATGCTGCCACGCAAGTTAGAGGTGCAAGGTGGCATTAGTTTTGCCTTTAGTAGACTTCAACTTACAAACCACCACCACCAAAGCCAGAAAGGCTACTGGGTTTCTAAGGTCCTTGGGTGGCACAAACAATTGTGCTTGATGGTTACCCTCCGGGCTGGTGGGCTTAACTTACCCTGTGGCCCTGGATGCAGGGTCTGGCAATCCACTTCCATAAAGATTACAGCCCCCAAAACCCTATGAAACAGTTCCACTATGTAACGCATAACCTCACCACGAGCTGGCGCCAACTCAACGGCAAAGAGTTTGGTTTTTTGTTTTTGTATCGCATTGTTATTTATTTCTTATACTTTTTGGTATTGTTTTGCATCAGATATATTTTATCTGGCTTAAATCCTTAAAGAAGTTCCGCCATAATCTACTGCAGGCCTAAGGATGGTTCCCACGAGAAGGTCCCCGATTTTACCTGTGCTTGAATGAGACGCTGTGTGTGGCCAGCAGCAGTTCTCTTCCTTGTCTTCAGGCCGGAGTTATGTAGCCTCAGACCACCACGTTACCCCTGTGGGCCCGTGACCCCCATTTGTGATATGGGGATCACGCTCTTGATTGTCCAGCTGGTGAGAGGAAGAGAGCTAGCCTGAAAGGAAGACACCCAGATGAGGGCAATCTTGCCCTGTGGAACACAGAGGGCACTGAGCACATGTGCAAAATGGAATTGAGTATCGGGATGTCCGTTTGCCAGCGTGAGAAATGTTCGAAGAGCCCTAACTATAGTTCTGTCATCATACGAAACACCTCCCCATCCCCACCAAAAAACCCTCAAATATCATCAGAGGGTTGCTTCTTGTTGTTCCCGTGGGGTGCCCTCAGGTTGGTTCTGACCGATAGCGACCCTACGTGCAACAGAGCGAATTGACCATCCCTGGGTCCTGTGCCACCCTCACAATTCCTTCGTATGCTTGAGCCCATTGTTGCAGCCACCGTGTCGGCTCATCTGGCTGAGGGCGTCCTCTTTTTCACTGCCCTCCACTTTCCCAAGCATGCTGTCCTTCTCCAGGGCCTGGTCTCTCCCGATGACGTGTCTGAAGTATGTCAGATGAAGTCTCCCCAGCCTTGCCTCGGAGGCGTCTTCTGGCCGGCCTTCCTCCAGGACCGATTTGCTGCTTCTTTTGACAGCCCTTGATGCTGCAATGTTCTTCTCCAACATCACAATTCAAACGCATCAGTTCTTCTTCAGTCTTCCTTATTCAGTGTCCGACTTCCGCGTGCTTCTGAGGCAAGGCGTGGGTCCGGCTCACCTTAGTCTTCCAAGTCTCTTCCTTGTTCTTCCGCACTTTGTAGAGGTTTTGTGCAGCGCCTTTACCCCCAGGCAATATGTCATTTGACCTATTGACTGCTGCTTCCCTGAGCATTGATTGTGGATCCACTCAGGACAAAGTCCTCGACAACTTCAATCTTTTCTCCAGGCATCTCTACTGGGCCGGTTGTGAGGATTTGGGTTTTCTTCTCGTGGGCTGTAATCCATACTGAAGGCTAAAATCCTTGCTCTTCATCGGAGCAGTTCCTTACGGTCTTCCTCACTTTCAGCAAACAAGCTGTGTTATCCACATACAGCAAGCTGTTAGTGAGCCTTCCTCCAGTCCTCATGGTTCAGTCTTCCTCCCACCGTCCAGCTTCTCTGGTGATTTGCTCAGCATACAGATTGAATAAGGGTGGTGAGCAGATACACCCCCGACGCATACCTTTCTTTATCTTAAATCGTGCAGGATTCCCTCATTCCGTTAGTACCCAGCCTCTTCATCCATGAGCAAGTTCCGCCATGACCATGAGGAAGAGAGTTGCTTGGTATCCAAGAAACCAAAGCATCAACAGTCCAGGCCCAGCAAGGCCCAGCTGGTCGTGTATTTACCAAAGTAGGCCCCACAGAACACTCGTTCTGGGAAACACTCCATAAAAAAGGAAAGTTTAGGAATTAATACATTTGAGAACGGCTGCATTTAAGGAGACTACAAAAGTTTGTGGAGAAACTCCATTGCCTTTTCGTTCCATTGAAGCACGACCTTTTAGAAGCCTTCTCACAACTTACCCCCTGTTGAGTGTTCACATGCATATTTGTATGTGTGTGCGCGCGTGGGGCAGGGGTGGGGGTGAGTGCCGGCTACAATTGCCAGAGACTGCTATATAAACCAGACGCTCAATTTCTAACCTAAGAGCCAGCAAGCAAGCAGATAACACTCAGGCTGGATACTCATATCAGCTGGCCAGCGCATCTCACCCCGCCGGACAGGCGTGTGGCTCTCAAACTGGAACAGGCTTCAGCTGGAGAGCTTGTGGGATGACCTAACCAGGGGTTCGGATTCAGGTCCCCCTGAGACCTGAACATTTGCATTTCTAACAAGTTCTCTCTCGATGCTCATGCTGCTAGCCCAGTGGCCTCACTTTGAGAAGCCTGGGCTGGAGACAAATCTTTATGCAAAGACAAATTACCAGCAGACGTTGTTGCTTAGTGAGCATCATCAAGGCCCAACCATTAGCTAATTTCAGTAGCTCCAACTCGTCGGATATGATGATCTCTAGTTCCCAACCCTCATCATACACGTAATTAGTTTTTGGTTTTTGCTTTCTGTTTTATTCTCTCCTGAGTATTCATGATCCTCGGGCTCTTGAATCCTCAAAAAGTTCCCTCTGCTGGACCCACAAAGCACCCCACTGTTCGATCCTCTCACTGAACCTCTGTCTCAGGCTCCCATGTATCTCTCTGGAGAGTTCACTTCTGGAAACGAAATGGAACAACAGCCCGGTCCCCATTTTCTGGGCCTCACACACAATCCACTAGAAGGAAACGGCTTTTTAAACAATGAACATTAAAATCAGAAAATGCCTTTAAGTGATGAGAGATTTTAGAAAGAAAGGGGAGAAATGGCACCACCAGACCCTCCTCCCATTTTGTTTGTTTGTCTGTCCTTAACCCTGGGGTCTCTGTTTCTCACCATCTTAATGGGTTCCTCACGCTGGCTGTGGCCCATCGTTGATGTGTGAGCTTGTCTCCCTGTAACCCAGATCTGGCTGTGACCAGGACCATGTAAGAGGGCTCAAATTGGGTTTCAAGCATCCTGTGAACTCAGCCCTCTTAGAGGTCTCCTCCCCACCCCCATCCCCATCCTCCGAGGAAAGAGGGCTTTCTCCTGTACCCCCACTGCATTAGAAGTTCACTAGAGGGGTGGTGGGATATTTATCTTTATTCAACTTCACTACCTTATTTTAGGATGATAAGCTAGATAGGGCAATGCTATACAGGCAGTCTCCCATGAGCTACCAATGAGGTCCATTCCGCCCTACATCTTTAAGGTGAATGTGTAGGTGCATATGGTTCTTATTTAGTCTGACTTTGGTGAAAGAGGCCTTTTCAGTGATTTGAAAGCAAGGGCAGGTAGAGGTTGGTTCAGTTGTCTCAAAGGGAGAGCAAATGTCGCTGACATGAAAGCAGAGCTTGGACCTGGTGAGCCAAGCTGCAACAGGAGGGCCCCGCTCAAAGAGGGTGGCTGACCACACTGCTTTGAGAGAATGTGACTCTCCCCAGTCTTGCCAAGAACACAGTGTCACAAGTCTGACTCACCGCAGGCAGAGCGCACCAGGCTCTTCTGAGTCTCCCTTACAGGGCTTTGGCCTGTTCACTGCCCACTTTCCAGTTAGCATGATAAACTACCCAAATTGTAAAAATGCCGGTTTAGTTTTACTTTGTCAGTGCAAGCTGAACCAGTTCTAAAGGATCCAAAGTCCTGTTTAAATGGCAAGTAGGTATTGTCTGTCAATGAAAAAAAAAAAAGATGTCAGGGACTGTCTGTGTATAAATGGCCAGGTACCACGTACCTAGTCACATTTATTTTTGAATCATTGGATACTTTAAACCAAACGGCACCATAGTTACTATCTGAATCTTGCCATGATCTACTGGGATTGATGGGGAGAGGTGGTGGCTATGTGGAGTTTTTCTAGTGGAAAATGATCGCAAACTCGACACTTGTCTCATGCTTACTTCTGTCCTCATTTCAACTGAATTTGGACAGTTATAAGCACAACTATAAAATATTCTTGACAGTTTCTCACATTAAAGTGATGTAGCTTAACAAACAGACTTTCAAACTCTCACCCACCAGCCCACCATCTATTTTTCATGTCACATTTTCCTCGTAGGGAGAAGCAAGAGGCGTTAGCGAGGAAGCACGAGCGATCGGTCGTGTTATTCAACCACATGTTGGAAAGAAAAGCCGCCTCTATCATTTTCATAAATGATACCTACACCAAGATAAACCTTGAAAAAGAGGAAATTGAAGCACACAAAAGTTGCCTCGAAGAGACAAAGACGAGAATGGAAGTGGATAGAGAAGAATATCTGGCAATGAAAAAAAGAATAAGTGCCCAGGTAAATGCCAGGATTTCTTCCTTTGATTTTTAAGATGCAGAAACTGAACGGAGCCTAAATCAGGGCATGGAAAGTAATGCATCTGTCCTGAAGCCCTGCAGGTGTTTTCTGTAGCCTCTTCTGTGATGTAAAGATTGGCAGAAAGCAGGGGACTCAAGAACATTTGGAGCCTTCTGGGAGAGGTATTTATTGTGTAGAAACATCTCTGGTCATGGGGAAGAAGTTAAGTGACCAGTTTTGCAACCTTAGGGTTCGGCCCCTTGGCCATCTGCTGCCCTATAGGAACAAGCACTTTGCCACCATCTTATGGGACTTCCTTGACAATTCTGAGACTGTATCTCTACAAAGAGAACCAGAGCATGTAGACTGAGTTCTCAGTTCCTGCTGCCTCTGCTGGATGAATCTTCCAGAGAAGCAGTCTGTAGAAGGCTGGGAAGAGCCCAGGGCTCTAGAGACACCAGAGTGTTTCAAGGCTGAAGCAGGGAAGCAGGAAGAGGGAATCGGTGGGGATGGCTCTCCATCCTGTGGTAGAGTAGGGTTGGAAGGGGCTGGACTATTTGTTATGCCACCTCAATTAAAACTCACTCAGCACTGAGGATTCTTCCTACGTACTTAGGGTTGCCTCCATACTAGGTGTTTCCAGCTTTGGTATTGACCCTCTGCTACCAGGCCTAGCCCATGATAACGACTGATGGTGAGCTCCTGAGGCTGCCCTCTGCTGACCACAATTGGCATAATCTCAGTTTATACAATACTTTTTGGCATTTCTTCATTGAAATGTTAAAGGAGAAAAAAAATCTAGTCGTGAATCATATTCGCTTCACCTGGTGATTGATTCTATGGTAAGACCTTTGGGGTATTTATAATTCCAATTAAGTCTGAGCTTCTTAATCCCTATAAGTGCCTGCCTCATAAGAAGTATTTCACAGTAAAGCCTTTATGTATTTATGTAATTTCTGTGTCTAGATAACCCATCCATTCGTTAGCATCTTTGCAAGAAGCATGTTGTGAAGGTTCTGGGAGTCAGGGTGCTTTCCGGTGCTTACAACAAGTCCAGACTCTGCCTTGTTTAAGCAGCAAGATCATTTATTATATTGCACAGTGTAGATTTTAGAGCTGTGACAGCCTCTCAGAATAGATCATGCTCCATCTTGCACCTTAAATAGAGTTTCCTCCATGGAAACAAAAGGGCTACCAATAACAATTGGACTATTTTCTTGTTCAATGAAGGAGCAAGAGGAAATCATTTCTCTAACATCCACCTTGGAAAACTAATGCATTCCCTGGGAATAAACTGATAATTATTGGTAATCAGTTCCTCATGTCGTGATGACCCCCACCATAAAATTACTTTTGTTGCTACCTCCTAACTGTAATTTTGCTGCTGTTAAGAATCATAATGTAAATATCTGATATGCAGGATGTATTTTCATTATTACAAATTGAACATAATTAAAGCATAGTGATTACTGTATATACTCATGTATAAGCCAAGTTTTTCAGCACATTCTTAATGCAGTTTTTGTGGTAAAATTAGGTGCCTCTGCTGATATTCTGGTCAGCTTATACATGAGTACATACGGTACATTTATTTGTTGAAACATCCTCAATTGGTATTTTGTCAATTCCTAGAACCTTGCTTTTTGCCAATGTGTTCAGTGCAACTTTGACATCTTACTGATCATGTTTCTTCCGGAAGTGGTTGAACAGTAGCCAAAACTTTTGGTGCAGTGGTTCTGTATATTCCTTATCTCTTCTTGCGATGCTTCCTGCATCATGCAATATTTTGCCCAGAGACTCCTTCAGTAATACAACTCAAGGTTTCTTTTTTTTTTTTCTTCAGTTCTTTCGCCTTGAGACATACTGAGCATGTTTCCCCCTTCTGATTTTCTTTCACTCTGGTTCTTTATACGTTTCATTATGATAATTTGTTTTGTCATCTCGGGCTGCATTTTGAAATCTTCAGTTCAGCTCTTTTATTTCATTTTTTTCTTCTATTAGCCTCAACTACTCTACATTCATCAGCAAGTTTCCTGGTCTCTTCTCACATCCATTTTTGTATTTTTAAAAATGATTTTTATGTATGATATTCTTGATGTCATCCCCTAACTCATTTGGTCAGTAGTGTTCAATATATCAAATCCATTCTTGAGATTATCCCTAATTTGGGGTGTATCTCAGTATACTAAAGAGCACACTTCGGCTCTTGTGGACTTGGCTTGATTTTCTTCAGCTGCAACTTGAACAATATGAGCAACTGATAGTTGGCCCTGCAGTCTGGCCCTGACCTTACTCTGATTGATGAGCTAGAGCAGTGGTTCTCAACCTGTGGGTCGCGACCCCTTTGGGGGCCGAAGGACCCTTTCACAGGGGTTGCCTAAGGCCATTGGAAAACACATATTTCCGATGGTCTTAGGAACTGAGACACCGCTCCTCTATCCGTCTTCAGGCGGTTCTGCTCACATGCAGATATGCTGATCTGGTGAGAAAGAAGCTATCTCAACCTTCACCATGATGCTGGCTTTTTACACATACTGTCACAAAATGTAGTTTACTGTTGTTATATTAAGACTGCTACCCATGCTACACCGTGCTTCAAGACAAAATTTCATTTATTTGTTACTAGAAATAAGTATTTCACAATATACAATTACATATTGGTTTTGTGATTACACAACTCTGGAAGCACTCACGTGGCTCTGCCAAGACCTTGGAGGACTGCTATCAGCTGAAAGAGGTCCTGCTTGAGTCTACTGCAAAGAAAGGTGATCCAACAGAATGAAGAGAGGACTGAACAACATCATTCACACCATAGTTAAGTAAAATTGTGCTGAAGATATTAAAAACCGGTTGTGGCAGAACTGCCAGAATTTGAAGCAAGACTCAGAAGAGGATGTGGAATGAGGATGTCATTGCTGATGGAGGCTGGATCCTGCCTGAACGCAGAGAACACGAGAAAGAGGTTTCCTTGTGTTTTACTGCCTGTGCAGAAACATAGTGTGAATCTTGACAAACTGTGGATAGCACAGAGAAGCGTGGGAATGCCAGAATACTTCACTGTGCTCATGCGGAACCTCTACAGCGAAAATGAGGCATTTGGTGCAACTGAACAAGGGGATAATACTTGATTTCAAATAAGGAAGGCGCTGGATCCAGGTTGTGTCCTCTCGCCAGATTTATTCAAGCTGTCGGCTGAGCAAATAATCCAAGACACCAGACTGTATGAAGGAGAATTTGGTACCAGGATTGGAGGAAGACTCACTAACAACTTGTGACAGGGAGATGCCATAGCCTTGGGCACTGACAGCGGAGAGGACGGCGAGCACTCACTGCTATCCAACAAAGACTCCAGCCTTCAGTGGGCTATGCTTCAGCAGAAAAAACAGACAGCCTCACAAGTGGCTCAGTAAGCAACAATATGATAAATGGAGAAAAGATAGTGGTTGTCAAAAATTTCATTTTACTTGGATCCACAATCAATGCCCATAGAAATCAGCAGGCAAAGAAAAAAAAAATCAAACAAGGACGTACTGCCTTGGGCAAATCTATGGCAAAAGACCTCTTTCAAGTGATTTTTTAAAAAGCCAAGAAATCATCTGGAGAACTAAGCTGCACCAAGTTTCTTTCATCTGGGTTTGTCCCCTGGCGCATAGACCACGGATAATGTTCATTGTTCAGAGTAGTCGTTCTGGCAAAACAGCTGGGGGAAGGCCGTCAGACAGAGGTTTCATTGCTCTGCGGCAGAGTTCAATGTTCCTTCTCAGGCCTCACTGTTCAGTTCCTTGGTTCCTTCCCATTCCTTCATTTGACCAGACAAATCCACCATGTGCTTACCTTTGCCAAGGGCTGACCCACTTCACCAGGGTCTGACCTGTGATCCGCACACATTGGTTGGTGATACCAAGTTGCTAAAGACAGCATGGTGTGCCTTTTCTTGTTATGTTGTGCACTTTGTCTTTAGTCTGTTTTCTGTTTCCCATTAAGAAAATGTGGATTTAAGTTTCTGGGCAATTCTTCGTTCACGTTGGGGATGACTATCTGATCCCCTCTTGGTATGTTCGCCAGCTGCCGTTGGGCCAGTCTGACTCGCAGTGCCACTGTTCCCAGTCGAGCTGTTTCATGAGACTCTCCAGGTTGGACCTTTCAGAAGCAGATCGACAGACCTGTCTGAGGGACCCCTGGGTGGGTTTGAATCTGCTGCTGTTGCTGTGGTTAGGCGCCACAGAGTTGATCAAAATTCATAGCAGTCACGTGTGCAACAGAACAAAAGACAGCCCCGTCCTCCCAGTGGTTGTTAGCTTCATTTGTAAATGTGCCAGTTCATTTCATTTCATTGAGGCTCCTCAGCTTTTTCATTGACCCTCTACTTTGCCAACGTGAGGTCCTTCTCCATGGACTGATTCCTCCTGATAACATGCCCCAAGTATGTCAGGGGAAGTCTTGGCATCCTCACTCAGCAGGAGCATCCGCAAGGTACTTCTTTCAAAAATAGACTTGCTTGTTGTTACGGCAGTACAGGGGACTTTCCGTAGTCTTCCCCAGCACCCTCATTCAAATGCATCCGTTCTTCTTCAGCCTACTCAACCGCAGACCCCCTGCCAGTGAGCCGATCCCAACTCCAAGCAACCCTCTGGGACAGGGTCGAACTGCCCCAGTGGGGTTCTGAGGCTGTACCTTTTTTTCAGGAGTAGAAAGCCTCACCTTTCTCGGGCTAGTAGTTCTGAACCGCTGACCTTGGGGTTGTCTATCCTGCCCTCTATAGGTCGCTATGACTCGGAATTGACTGGAGGGCAGTGTTTGGTGTTCAGTCCGGGTAGTGTCGAGGTTATGCATTGGGCTGCTAACCGCGAGGCTTGAAAGCATCAGCTACTCCAGGGGAGAAAAAGGAGGTTTTCTACTCCCCTAAAGAGTTATAATCTCAGAACTCCACAGGGGCAGTGCCCTGCCCTATAGGATCACCAGGAGTCAGAATCGGCTGGGTGGCAGTGAGTTTGAGGGCTTTGTTTCCGAGCACACTATAAATCCAGGAACCATGGCTGTGATGTTTTACCAGTGAGTCACTATAAAGGAAATTGCTTTTATATTTTTCATTGTGAGATAAGCTAACCACAAAGTCAGATTTTCAAACTCCACCAGCTGCTCCATGGGGGTGGGGGTGAGGGAAGAAGGGATAAGATTTTCTGCTCCCATAAAGATGTACAACTTTGGAAACCCTAGGGAGCAGGTTCATGCTGTCCTATAGGGTCACAGTGAGTCAAAATTGACGATGGCAGTGGGTTTGGGTTATGATTATTGTTATTGCTGTTCTTATAAATTTAATAGTTCCTATTTTTGTTTGACTCTTTGAAGGTCACTGTTTTTTTCCTATAATGTTTGAAAACCCTATTTTTTGTGATTTTTAAATTTTTATTGATATACTTTGATAGAATGGCTTCAGAAAAGATCTACTGACAAGTTAATATGTATCCATATATCTACATATGGATATATATGTTTGCATTTCCTAAACTTTGCTGTACTAATTGGCTTTTGATTGGCTTACTATGTTTATCATTATAGATGGATGAATATAGAAGATCCTTTGATAGAAAAAGAAAGGAGGCACATGGGAAGAAGAAAGAATTGACAAAATTAACCCTTAAAATGTCAAAAATGAGAGAAGCAGTTGCTTCCAGGGTTGTGGTAAGACAGAATAAAATATGTTCTTTCAAACCAGACTTGGGCATTGCAGGATACAACCTTAAATAATTAGTAGCCAGTGTCCCAATCACCTGCATTTCATTCTCAGAGAACCTTCTCGGCATGAAAAGATCTTCTGTGGCGGTCTTGGGAGTATTCTGGTGCGGTTGTATTTGAACATGGTGTCAAGAAAAAAGTTTGGAATCCTTTAGGTACAAATTTCACCTGGTGGGAGAAAATACTACAAAGAGGTTGATTTGTCAAATGCATCCAGAACCAGCTAAAGATACTGATATTTAGCACATTTTCATGAGATTTCTTTAGCTGACAAGATAAATAACCTGAATTCTTAATTGTGGGTTGGAGAACAGCACAGATCTTAAGTTTTCTACTCACACTTGATACAGTAAAATTAATATAAGAAAGAGATAACTTGCCTATTTAAATTAGAAAATACTCTTATGAGCTCTGAATTTCTACTTAAAGAAATAATTAATAGCCTGTATTGAGTGCCAACTCCAGGATTGTGAGATAATTCACAATCCTGATGTAAACTAAAACCTGGAAAAACTTTAAGGGTGAGGGCGATTAAAAAAACCAAAAAACTACATTGTAAAAATACCTGTTTCACCACAAATATTCTCCTTTTATATTTCCTTCTTTCAAATCTAGATTTCACTTTTTCACAGTATCCAAAAGTTCTATTCCGTAAATACTGATTGGATACTAAGACAGAAAAGACCTTGAGCCTAAGTACCAATTAAAGCAAAGGACCCGATTTGTTTTGACTTTTCTATGGTGTTTATTCTATTATCCCAGGACAAGATTTTGATGGAGGATGCTTAGGACAATATGGATTTATTTGCATTTATTTGCATTTTTACTGTTGTAAGGATTCAATTATAACACAACATTTACCCATTCAAGATGCTCTTCCAGTTCAGAGGTTACCTCATCACTTTACTGATAAACATCTTCGATGAACACAATGTCTTCATGGTGATGAGTTCTTGTTCAACTATTTTGTATGTGGTTGCCTGGGCTTTTGGTGCCCTATTCATGTTGAAGACTTAAGACCCAAGGCATTATTACCTCTATGGTTTTGTTTTTTTAAATCATTTTATTAGGGGCTCATACAACTCTTATCACAATCCATACATACATCAACTGTGTAAAGCACATTTGAACATTCATTGCCCTCATCATTCTCAAACTATTTGCTCTCCACTTAAGCCCCTGGCATCAGGTCCTCGTTTCCCACCCCCCCTCCCCGCTCCCC